GGAGGTTGCAGGGTGGGGGTGCTGAAAAAGAGGCCTCGGGGGGCCGGTGTCAGACGTGTGGGGGGTCCCGGCGGAGGTTTTGCAGGGTGGTCCCTAAAAATCTTTGCCCAGAGGCCTCGGGAGGCTGGCGGTGTCAGACGTGGTGGGGGCGTGGTGGGGGGTCCCAGCGGAGATTTTGCAGGGTGGGTTGTGCCTAAAAACGTTTGGTGCCCAGATGCCCAGAGGCCTCGGGAGGCTGGCGGTGTCAGACGTGGTGGGGGCGTGGTGGGGGGGGCGGAGATTTTGCAGGGTGGGGGGTCCCGGCAGAGAGATTTTGCAGGGTGGGGGGTGCCTAAAAACGTTTGCCCAGAGGCCTCGGGAGGCGGTGGCAGACGTGGTGGGGGCGTGGGGGCGTGTAGGGGGTTCTAGAAATTTGCAGGGTGGGGGGTTTTTAAAAACCTTTGCCCACAGGCCTCGGGAGGCTGGCGGTGTCAGACGTGGTGGGGGCGTGGTAGGGGGTTCTAGAAATTTGCAGGGTGGGGGGTTTTTAAAAACTTTTGCCCAGAGGCCTCGGGAGGCTGGCGGTGTCAGACGTGGTGGGGGCCTGGTGGGGTGTCCCGGCGGTGATTTTGCAGGGCTGGGGGTGCCTCAAAACGTTTGCCCAGAGGCCTCGGGAGGCTGGCGGTGTCAGACGTGGTGGGGGCGTGGTGGGGGGGGTGCCGGCGGAGATTTTGAAGGTTGGGGGGTGCCTAATTATTCTGACGGAAGGACCCCACATGATAATCTTGTTAGCTTGCATCCGTATCCTCCTGGCTATGGCAAACACCCTCCTCTCGCCCTCTCCTCTGCCCTCTTTTCTTCCTTATTATGTTTATCCCCCTCCCCCTTCCTCTACTCCTCCTCCTCCTCCTCCTCTTCCTCCTTCTCCACCTCCTCCTCATCATCGCCCTCCCCCCACCCCTTCCCCCCTCCTCATCTTCCTCCTGCCGCTTCTCTATGTGCACCTCCCTTTCCCCCTGGTCGGGGCAAGCAAGTCGATTTTCTTCGGCGCCGTCGCCGCCTCGGCCAGCACGCGCGCGTTCGCCGACGGCTAGATCGCGAAGCCTGTGGGGCGACCCCGCGGGCCATGCCTTTGGGACAATCCCGCGGGCCGCTGGGGCGCGAGGGCAGGCCGTCGGGACAACCCCGCGGGCCAGACCGTTGGGACAACCCCGCGGGCCCATCCCTGGAGGTCTTCGCTTTCTCATCGAACTCCTTGAGCGCCTTCCGCAAGGACGCTGGCGGCCCTCGCTCCAGGAGGTCCCTCCTCCTCTCCTTCCTACCTCCAATGGATACGTGCAGCCCGGAGGACATTACACGACCCACCCCTTCTGCGCCTCCTCCTCCTCCTCCTCCTCCTCTTCCACCTCCTGCTCCCCCGCCTCCTCCTCTTCATCATCATCATCATCATCATCGTCTTCATCGTTGTCATCATCATCATCATCATCACCATCGTCATCATCATCAGCAACATCATCATTATAAACATCATCATCGTGCTCGTCGTCATCATCATCATCATCATACTCATCATCATCAGCATCATCATCATCATCCCTCCGCGCCCTAGTGGATACGTACCGAAGCACGACCCGAAGGAAGCACGCCTCCTCATCCTTTTCCTTTTCCTCCTCATCCTCCTCTTCCTTCTCCTCCTCCTCCTCTTCCTCCTCTTCCTCCTCCTTCTCTTCCTCCTCCTCCTCATCATCATCATCATCCCATCATCGTATTCCCTCCGCGTCCCAGTGGATACGTGCAGAAGCACGACCCAAAGGAAACACGCCTCCTCCTCCTCCTCCTCCTCCTCCTCCTCCTCCTCCTTTTCCTCCTCCTCCTCCTTCTCCTCCTCTTCCTCCTCCTGTGCCCGATTCGGCCGCCGATGGGTTACCACCGGCGGCCCGGGGACAAGGGGTTACCCCTGCCCCCGATTCGGCCGAGGATGGGTTACCACCCCCGGCCCGTGCGCAAGGGGCTACCCCTGCGCCCGATTCGGCCGCCGATGGGTTACCACCGGCGGCCCGGAGACAAGGGGTTGCCCCTGTTCCGATTCGGCCGAGGATGGGTTACCACCCCCGGCCCGGACGCAAGGGGCTACCCCTGCGCCCGATTCGGCCGCCGATGGGTTTCCACCGGCGGCCCGCAGACAAGAGGTTAGTTACCCTTGCCCCCGATTCGGCCGAGGATGGGTTACCACCCCCGGCCCGGACACAAGGGGCTACCCCTGCGCCCGGCCGCTGTGTCGTCGTCGTCGTCGTCAGCTCCTCAGTCTCCCTTTCGGGCACGCAGGCCCATGACAACAACAACTTTGCCGACGACAAGCTCAGACGAGGCTACCCGCACTTCTGTGTCACCCTTTTTCGGGCACGCAAGCTCAGAAGGGACGACGGTTACAAGAATTCGATGACCCGCTCGCATTGCCAACATGAAGTGCGGGACCCATAGGGAGGGGGCTTCCGCTTGAGACTTCCTTACAATTCACTCACAGACGAGGCTCCCCTCCAAATTCAAGCTTGGGGAACCCAAAAGGGACGACAGTTACAGGAATTGGATGATCCGCTCGGATTACCAACGTGAAGTGCGAGACCCATAGGGAGGGGGTTCCCGCCTGACACTTCCTCACAATTCACTGACAGACGATGTTCCCGCTTGATACTTCCTCCAATTTCAGGCCTGAGGAAGCCAAAAATTACGACAGTTACAGGAATTGGATGATCCGCTCGGATTACCAACTTGAAGTGCGGGACCCATAGGGAGGGGGCTCCCGCCTGAGACTTCCTCACAATTCACTCACAGACGAGGCTCCCGCTTGATACTTCCTCCAAATTCAGGCCTGAGGAGCCCGAACATGACGACGGTTACAGGAATTTGATGATCCGCTCGGATTACCAACATGAAGTGCGACACCCATAGGGAGGGGGCTCCCGTCTGATACTTCCTCACGATTCACTCACAGTCGAGGCTCCCGCTTGATGCATCCTCCAAATTTTTAAGCTAGAGAGTGATGATGACGAAACCATGACATGAGCGAAGGATGAATGAGTGAGTGAGTGAGTGAGTGAGTGATGATGAAGAAGATGATGATGATGATTATGAGGATGAGTGGGTGTGTAATTGATCGAGTGATGATGATGCTGATGATGCTGGTGGTCAATATGGTGTGTGATTGAATGTGATGGTGATTGTGCTGATGATGATGGTGATGATGAGTGATGGTGATGATGATGATCAGTGATCGAATGATGATGAGTGATGATGGTTGTGATGATGGTGGTGGTGATGATGATGAAAATGATGATGATAATGGTGATCATGCGAATGATGATGATGATGGTGATGATGATGATGATGCTGATGCTGATGATGATGATGATCATGATGATGTTGTTGTTGATGATGATGATGATGATGGTGATGATGATGATTAGTGATGGGTGGGTGATGATGCGGGTGTGTTCTGGTTCTGGTTTTTGCGCGGGGTGTCCAGAGAAAACAAGAACCCCACTTTGGACGTGGGGAAAAACGTTTGCCCAGAGGCCTCGGGGGGCTGGCGGTGTCAGACGTGGTGGGGGCGTGGGGGGGGTCCGGGCGGAAATTTTGCAGGGTGGGGGTCCCTTAAAACCTTTGTCCGCTGGCGTGCCAAATTTTGCAGGGTGGGGGTCCTTAAAACCTTTGCCCAGAGGCCTCGGGAGGCTGGCGGTGCCAGACGTGGTGGGGGCGTGGTGGGGGGTCCTGGCGGAGATTTTGCAGGGTGGGGGGGGTCCTTAAAAAACCTTTGCCCAGAACCTGGGGAGGCTGGCGGTGTGAGACGTGGTGGGGGCGTGGTGGGGGGTGCCGGCGGAGATTTTGCAGGGTGGGGGTCCCTTAAAACCTTTGGCCAGAGGCCTCGGGATGTTGGCGGTGTCAGACGTGGTGGGGCGTGGTGGGGGGTCCCGGCAGAGATTTTGCAGGGTGGGGGGTCCCTAAGCCCAGAGGCCTCGGAAGGATGGCGGTGTGAGACGTGGTGGGGGCGTGGTGGGGGGTCCCGCCAGAGATTTTGCAGGGTGGGGGGATCCTAGAAACCTGTGACCAGAGGCCTCGGGAGGCTGGCGGTGTCAGACGTTGTGGGGGCGTGGTGGGGGGTCCCGGCGGAGATTTTGCAGGGGGGGGTCCTTAACAACCTTTGCCCAGAGGCCTGGGGAGGCTGGCGTGTCAGACGTGGCGGGGGCGTGGTGGGGAGTCCTGGCGGAGATTTTGCAGGGTGGGGGGTCCTTAACAACCTTTGCCCAAAGGCCTCGGGAGGCTGGCGGTGTCAGACGTTGTGGGAGCGTGGCGGGGGGTCCGGGCGGAGATTTTGCAGGGTGTGGGGTGCTTAACTACCTTTGCCCAGAGGCCTCGGGAGGCTGGCGGTGTGGACGTGGTGGGGGCGTGGGGTCCGGCGGAGATTTTGCAACTACCTTTGCCCAGAGGCCTCGGGAGGCTGGCGGTGTGAGACGTGGTGGGGGCGTGGTGGGGGGTCCCGGCGGAGATTTTGCAGGGTGGGGGGTGCCTAAAAACGTTTGCCCAGAGGCCTCGGGAGGCTGGCGGTGTGAGACGTGGTGGGGGCGTGGTGGGGGGGGGTCCCGGCGGAGATTTTGCAGGGTGGGGGGTCCCTAAATCTCCGACGTAGAGTTCGTCAATATCTGGAGGATGAGAGCACAGTGAACAAGTGCGCACTGGAACCCCGCACGCCTCGGGGGTCGATGGATATATGTATATATAGAGAGAGAGAGAGAGAGAGAGAGGGATGGTCAGTTGGTTGCTAAAAAGTACAAATGATGTCGCACACGCCTCTGGGGTCGGCGGATTAGGATGAATAGTATTATGACGAAGAAGAAGAAACATAACAAGAAAACGAAAAAGAGGAGGAGGAGGAGGAGGAGGAAGAGTAAGGAGGAGGAGGAGGAGGAGGAGGAGGAGGAGGAGGGGGAGGAGGAGGAGGAGGGATGAGGGAAAGCCCGCTGCAGGTGGTGGCGCGCGGACGCCAGCGCCGAGGCCCCGGGCTGGCCGAATCCCCGACGCCGCGCGCCTGGCGGGAGGAGGGCCTCCTGCGGGTCTCGCCGCGGCCCCAACCGTGTCGATGGGCGTGGGGGCGGCCCCGCGCTCGTCGGCATCACGGGGAGGAGGAGGAGGAGGAGGAGGAGGAGGAGGAGGAGGAGGAGGAGGAGGAGGTCCTGGGAGCCACTTGTGGCCTTTCCTCAGGCCGTCTTGGGGCGCTTGAGTGCCGTCTTGGGCGCCGCTGGGGCCGTCTTGGAGCTCTCGTGGACCGTGTGGAGGGAAACTTGGGAAAGTTTTGGGCCGTCTTGGAGCGGTTTTGGGTGCCTCGCGGGTGTTCGCCCGCGCCGCGACGGCCGAAGAGGCGTGTGTGCGAAAAGTGGGCGATTCCCATCGGACTTCGACGATTTCGGCTTCTTGGGGGCTCCCTGGGAAGCTCCTTGGAGGCCTCTTGGGGAGTCTTCGCGGCTTCTTGGGCGTCTTGGATCGATCATTCGGCGACGTGGGGGTGTGTTGGGAGGCTTGGCGAGTTGTCTTGGAGCTACGGGCGGGGCCTGCGGGGCCGGGGCCGCCCCTGATGAGTTCGGGGGTGGGTCGGATCCGACGAGGGGGGGGGGGGGGGGGGGGGGGGCAAATTGCCGGTTTGGGGCCCCGGGGGGGGGCTTATGGGGGGGGGGGGGGAAAATCTCACGCGCCTCGAGGCCCGCAAGGGGTCGGCGTACTTATTTGCTTGTACATGTGTGTATATGCACATGTAAATATATACGTGTGTGTATATATGTGTGTATATATATATACACATACATGTGTACACTTTCCTCTGACAGGCGGTGGATCGCCGTGGGCGTCTTTGACGAGCAAACGAAGATGCTTACAGGGGTAGCGCGTCTTCAGCTACGAATTGCATACGTGCCCCCTTTCTGGTCCACGGAAATGCCCCCCGCAGACGCGAGGAGAGAACGACGCGCCTGACGGGAGCAAGCAGTCCAGAGCAAGAGCGAAATAGGTCGCGCACATCCAGAGCGCTTCAATATGCTCCTGCCCGCGCGTGGCCCTTTGTAAACGCCGCGTTCACGCGGGTGCGCGAGATTTTGGCGCTAGGCACAGCCGGCGGTGGCGGACCGCTTCGCCGTCGCACAATTATCAGATATCCAAAGATCAGAATGCTGACCGGGGGCTATTGGAATCCGTGCCAGCGCTTCGCACCAAAGTCGGTCGCCTAACATGCCAACATTCTCATTTCTGTTATTTTCACGACGATGGCGCGCAACGTCGCAGCCCCAATTCGGCGGAGGACAGGGGGGGGAGTAGACCAACAAAAATGAACTTCTAGCCGTGCCGACGTTCCCTCGAGCGTAAACGCCTGCGCGCTTCTGTCGGTGCCAGCAGAGTTTCAGATGAGACGTGAAGCGCACAAAGAACCGCGCAGATGCCTCCAAGAAAAATCAATATGTCCCCATAGAGGCTCCACATATCAAATCAGAAGACCTGCGAGATGCCGTCCACGAGACCAAACAACTTTTCAAATAGCCCAACAAGAGCGCCCCTCAAGGCATCCAAAGAGACTTCCAGCATGGTTTTGCCGAGCTCTTTCGGCGCCATTTGGGCATCCTCCCGTAGGATGCCCTGGGTCCTCCTCGCGGCTGTCTTGCGCGCCTTCCTGGGCCCTTCCTGAGCCCAGGAAGGCGCGCAAGGCAGCCTGGAAAGAAGAGTGGGCCTCGATGCAGCATGGTCGTTTTAAGTGGCGTCATCGGCAGCCAAACTCATACACCCCACTTCATCGTTCAACGCCTCTCTGGTCCCAGGGCGGATCCAGAAAGGCGCCAGGCGCATCGAAGAAGCCCCAAGGCTCCTGTAGCCAGGACCTTCACATCGAATTACCGAATATGTTACCACCAACGTAGAGAAGGCACCCGAATCGCCCGTGCAATCCTCAAGGGCAGATTGTGATGCGAATCCCTTGGGCGCAGTTAGAACCTAAGCGCGCGCGATGCGCGCGCGTGGTTCTAGTATATGTTTTATATGTTTTATATGTTTTATATGTATTGTATGTATGTATGTATGTATGTATGTATGTATGTATGTATGTATGTATGTTTGCATGCATGTATGCATGCATGCATGCATGCATGCATGCATGCATGCATGCATGTACATATACTACGAAGCATCGAGTGCACCACATATATTGCACTACATCGAGTGCCCAACGTAGACTGTAAACATATTATCTAGCTAGAAATATTTGCTGGCTAGCATGGTGCAGTCCATATGGTGCAGATGACTTTCACATGCGAGTTGACACATCCCGTACTCTTGCAAATATCCTACCCGCCCACTCGCAACTTGGTTTGCAAAACCCATGCGGTGGCGATTGCGATGGGTGTTTGGCGTTCGCTGGTCCACCTCTGCGGCTGCGCCAACCCAAGCACGCGCGCGCAGCGGCCAGCTAATTTGGCACGACCGACGCGGCCGCGGTGGCGCTGACCGCTTGGCGCATCCCAGCTGGCACTTCACTGCGAGTCGGCGAGTTGGGCGGGCGCGGTATCATGGCAACGTCGACAATGGTAGACACGATGATGACAGCAGCGATGTTGGTGACGATGTCGATAATGATGGCGGCGCGGCCAGTGCGGGCGCCGATGTTGATCACGCCGGCGACGAAAACGGCGTCCTCGCGTCGGTGGTGATAGTTCGACGTGCGCGCGCGGCCGGCGCGCGAAAGAGGCCCACATGGTTTTACGTGACACGGATCGTGCCCCCCCCCCCAGCACGCGCGAAAGGGCGTGCGAATGACGTCGGCTTGCTGCGCCAAAGGCCCGTTTGGCCGAATTCCATGAACATGTTGAGAAACCCGCGGCTTTTTTTTCCGAATTCGCAAGAGCGCGAGCGCAGTTTTTTGTTTGTTGTTCTTTGTTGCTTTGAGTTGTTTTGTGTCGTTGTTGTCTTTTCCTTTAAAAAAGGTTGAAAACTGGTGCTGCGAAGCCATATGTATTTCATGTGTTTGTTGGGGCTCTCGGTTGTGGAATCGCTGCGAAGCCGAAGGTTTTCGACGGATTTCAGCGCGCGCGCGACGACGCGCGTGCGCGCACTTCGTTCCAAGTGCAAGTGCGCAAGTGCGTTCGAACGATTTCGATATGCGCGCGCGAAGCCCGTTTGGTAGCATGTTATGAACATGATGAAAACCAGGTTTTCTCAAGAATTCGCAAGGGCGCGCGCAATTTTTTGATAAGAAAATCAGTTTGCGAGGCCTTGTGTGTAGATATATGGATGTTGGAGTCAACTTTGAAGTCCTTACGACATCGAACGTTTTAGAAGGATTTCGGTATGCGCGCGCGACGACGCGCACGTATGCACTTCGTCATATATGTTGCAACGGATTCTTGGAAACCTATGATGGTTGATAAACGAGTGCACGTACATAGTATTTATTGCAGAGGATGGCGGGGGGCGGGAACTGGCTCGGTTGGGATGGTGCGAGTTCATATTTGGGATGGACGATGGGGCAGATTCGTATCTCAACTACAATACGAAAAGGGGGAACGATCATCCCTGGAGCGGGGGTAGAGTGCATTCTCTTTTTAAGCGGAGAGTCTATGCAGTGTACTTTGCGTTGTGCAATTTAGGTGGCGACAGGGCGGCGACGACGACAACATAGCCGCCAGACCGAACGTCAGGCCCACATGACGGGCGGCGACGAGGCGACGACCAGCGGTCAGGCCCAGTTCCTTAGAACTTAGAGTAAGAACCCGTCAGTGCAAGCACTGCTCGGGAAATCTATGTATAATGTGTGTGTATATACAGACAGCGTGTTCTCGGACAACGTGTGCTGGGTTCGCATGGGCTGAGCATGAATTCAGAGGGATAGTGCACAGCAGAGGCCCATCTCTGTGAACCGCCGGATTTGGCCTTCTTGGTAATCCGGCGGCGGTAGACGTCAACCATTGCAATCGGCGTCGGTGATCATCATCATCATCATCATCATCATCATCATCATCATCATCATCATCATCACCATCGTCATGGGTCGTTGTGCTGTCTCGAGTCGCGTCCTGACCCGCCGGCCAGGGCTGGGAGGCTGCGCCTTAGTTCAGCTGCAGTCGAGTGGCTGCGGGATGACGGCTGCGCGGACTGCCCTCTTTACATCCGCCCTGTGCCTCGCCGTAGGCACGGGGCATTGTGAAACCTTCCGTTTCATCGACGCCCCTGTGCCGGCAGGCAGGGCGCTCCAGGCGCTGTACCGGTTCTACGTCTACGCGAGCAACGACGAGAGAGTCGAGGACGGAGATCAGCCCTACGTAGAGTTCAACAGCGTTGTCGAGGTGCCACTGACGGGTCTGCCACCCGAGTACAGTGGACTCAAGGTCGGGGATACGGTCCCTGACCACAGTATCCAGCTAAGCATCATCCCCTACTCGGATTTCTGGACCGTGGTCGATCCGAAACAGTTCTGCAGCGCGCAGAACACGTTGTTGCTGAAGTCGGCGCCGGAAATGAACGTGTACTCCACCACGTTGCTCGTCAGGGTGGCGGCGAATGCATTGCCCGGTGCAGACCCCGTGGCCCCGCAGTTGGGAGACTCCGTGCGCTTCAACATCACGCGCAGCAACGTGTACGCGCTGGTGATCTCCAACTGCGGAAACATCCAAGACTCCAAGCTTTGGGGGGGAGTCACGGCTGCGAACGCATTCGGGTACTTGCCTGGCGATCAATATTACAAGATGCATTTCTACGGTCTGTTGTCGATCTTCTACCTCCTTATCGCTGTCTTGTGGCTCCTGATGGTGTGCTCTTGGCGGATGAAGGGAGAACATCTACATCACCTGCATCACTGCATTACGTTCGTGTTGTTCTTGGGTGTCATCGAATCGTTCTTTTCTTGGTATCGAAGACGCCTACGGCGAGCCACCGCCGCTCCCTGCCTTTTGCAAATGCCTATGTGATCAAACGTTGGGCCAAAGTGTGTCCAAACTATTGGACTAGATGTTCCCCCCAGCGTT